TTTTGGTTGCTGAGTAATATTCCATTGTGTATATGTACCACATCTTTTTAATCCAGTCATCCATTTTTGGGCATTTGGGTTGTTTCCATGTCTTTCCAGTTGTGAATAAAGTAGCAATAAACATAGGGGTCAGGTATCTTTTTGAATCAGTGGGAAACCACTTATAATTTTTCTCCTTCAGTAGTTTTGATTACTCTGGAATGTCATATAACTGGATACATACATTATTTAAAAGTTGAGATATAATAGATCTATAGCATTGTTTTTGTTTTAGGTGTATAACATGTTGGTTTGACACATGTTATGCAATGATTACCACAATATGCCTTAGTTAAACATGTCACCACACAAAATTGCAAGTTTCTTGTGGCAAGAGCTCTTCAGAACTACTTCCTAGCAATTTTCAGGTATTCAGTACAATATTGTTTAGTTACCATTTTGAAAATATATATGTTTGGTCAATTTGCAGATTTTTCTTTTCCTTTGACCGAGCTGTGTCCTTTCACAAATACCAAATTGTGCGGATTACCATAACTGTATTATAATTCTTAATGGTGGTAGTATATACATCCAAATGTATTTCTTTTTCAAGAGTGCTTTAGCTTTTTTGTATACTATGTGTTTATGTATAAACTTTTAAATCAGTTTGTTGATTTTTACATGGGTAACTGGTCTGAAGAGGAGATGAAAGATTAATTAAATCATGAAATAAATAGTAATTTGACACCCACTCAAAGAGATGAGCAAGTACAGATCGAGGAAATAGAAAACAGGTTAAACCAACAACTTTAAAAGATAGGTGTAAGGGAAGAAATCACAGTTCTGGAAAAATAGATGTTGAACATTTTAATCTAATTATCTCATGTAAGTCAGATAATTAGATTGTATTCAATATTGTTACATAAGTGGGAGGGACTAATCAAGAGGCAGTAAAGCATTGTGATTATTAGGTCAAGTAAGTCCTAATTTTCAGTGATAAGACAAGTATCATAACTTTTGGTTGTCTGAATCAATTACCAATGAATAAAATAAACCTTGTCTAATAGTAGCATTATTTTGGAATTTTGAGTGATTGGAAGATTTATAATCTAGGTCTCCTGTTACATTGCAACTGCTGTTGTTTAGTGATGTTTTAAAATAGGGGAAACATTTCTGAATGTGAAGAAAAAGTTATATTTTAATTCTTTCTGGTTTTGTTTTCTCTTATAGTAGTATGACAAGTAAGATTATGATCTTCCTTCTTCACAGAGTCAGAAGTTCCCTTTTATGTGTCTTTGTGGATTACTTTTAGAAAGAAGTATATTGACAATGTTCATCTCATTTTCATCCTGAGGCTTTCCTCTCCTAAGTCTGTATATTTTGTTTGGCTGAATAAAGGGGATATGAAGTAGACCCCAAAGAATAAACTGATTAAAAATAAGACATACTGAGACCAAATATTTCTAAAGTCCAAAAGAATCTTGTTACCACTGTTATATGGTTATTTGGATTGCCAGTAAGGATCATAGAAGAAATATGATCTGTGTTAGTAAAACACTTATCATTACCTTAAGTTAAGTGTACTGATTATGTTTAATCACATTTTCATATAGTAGGCCATTTAAAACTTGTCATTCTTGTCCTGGAAATTCTACTTATCCTTTACTATGCTACATGTTAACATTACATATTAGCTTTATCCTTTATCATGGGGATGCTTTATTTTCCTTTGTATTTATTTTAAAATAGTGATGATAGAAGCAATGCAACTATCCAATGATGGGGAAAAAGTAGTAAGAAAAAAGGTAAAGAAAAAAAATTACAAGAAGAAATATCAAATTCTTTATAGAATTATTGATATTTGAAAATAAAATGTTCTATGACTGTATTTTTTATGTAGTAAAAGGGAAGCCACATGAGGGCAAGGATATTGTTCATCTTGTTTACTGTTGGAGACCTTGTGTTTGCCATAATAAGTGATAATAGTAGGTCTGAGGATATATTTGTTGGGTAATATTAAAATGATCAGAAACAAGAGAGTACAAGAAACAAGAGTTTGACGGTTATATTTTGATAGTGATGTGTGACTTTATATTATAAGACATGGATTTTGTTTAGAGTAGCGACAGAACAGAAACTCCCATGAAAACTTTGGGTTATTTTTGAATATTTGCATTATTGTCATCTGTGACTATACATAACATGAAATTTCAGATATGTCATTGAAGACATCAGAAAGCTATGTGGAGTCTTTTTTAGTGCTAAAATGAGATTGAGGACTTGGAATTTAAAAAGATTGAGTTTGAGAAGGGGCATATAGTTTACTTTATTATGGTGATCAGATTCCCCAGAATAAATTAGGTTGCTATAATAGTGTGATTCACCGGGAACTGATGTAACTCTTTGAAGCACCAATTCAAAACCTGCCTCTTTGGTAATTTGAAAAAGAAGAGAGAGATTGCTAGGCTTTCCAAAATAAAACATTTCTATTTCTTTGATGAAAAGTATCCATCACTTAGTATATAAGAGTGGACTGACCTGTATATGAGCTATTAGAAACCATAATACCACCTCTAGAGATTTAAAGTGTATTATCTTTAAATAAGTCCTTATATGTCCCCACGGTGGAAAGTTGATGCTGAGGTACTGAGCTCTCTGAGAGGGGATATAAAACTGAATAGGAGTAAACGATACCAAATTCCTAAACATTTGGAACAGTAGTGATCACTAAAACAAATGCCTCTTACAGAAATAATTCATAGTCCCCTTAAGACAGATACTGGGAGCCTCCCTGGTAGCACAAAGGGTTAAGTCTCAGCATTATGAAGCTTTCAAACAGCCTTTACAGTAAGAATTAGGTCCCTGGCCAGCACATGGCAGCAAACCTCTCTGTTTCACCTCCTGCTCCCCTCAGCAGTGTATTTCAAATCTGCCTGTCTGCTCCCCACTCTGCCTCTGGTGACTTCTCTCAATACCCCTTCCCTGCACCACCTGCATAAATAAATAAAATAATTTTTTAAAAAAAGACACATGCTATCTAGTTAATGATTACATAGCCAAGTTAACTTGACCTCTGATCTTAACGCTGTATGTCTTATAAAAATTATGTAAAGTCAATGAAACATATACCTTTGCATATTTAGTAGTTTTTGTCTTCACCTATTCTCATTATGGTTAATGGATAGGTAATATATCTTTGGATCTTTTTGATTTGGTATTGTTTAATCTTTGTTTTTGAAAGTGTTGTATTTATATCCAGAAGTACCCTTGAGGCACATATACCTTATGGTACACAGTAGAAAATCTGAAAATCTTCTTATCTAAAAATAGTATTTTCAGAAGTATTTTATGTAGGTTGAATGTGTTATAAATTGTTTTTCTCCTGTGGAAAATATTATTTGTGCTCTTTGAATATATGGGACATTTATGGAAAATAAAATATGGTAGGTACATTGTCACCTAAATTGTATGGCAAGATCAGAGCAGAAAATTGGAAGCTAATTACTTACTGTTAACAGATGAGCAAACTGAAAAACTTTCTCTTTGCCTTATATAGTAAGGGAAGGAATGACTTTTTAGTTACTCTTTACAAATATAAGGGTAAATTATGGTTGGTAAATTTGGATTGTACTCTAAAAAAACAGCCTTGATTTCTTTATACATCGTAAAATACCTCTAATTTTTCTTAATTTTCTGCATGGTACAATTTCCAGACCACCTGAATGGAGGAGATGTAAACTCTAAACTCTACTTAGAAATACTCCCAAATTGGGGGGGAGAGAAATGCACGGGATTCTGGTGATGGCACATGGGTGATTTGGTGATGGGAAACCCGCGGGAATTACAATCGAGATGGAAAAAAAAAATGTACAAAATGATGTAAAAATAAACTTTTGTAATAAAAAAAAAGAGAAAAGAAATACTCCCAAATTTAAATACTAGGTTTTGGCGGGGGGTGGGGTGGTGGTGGTTCTCTGTTTATTTTATAGAAACAACTAAGGTTGTTTGCTGTTGTTGATAGATCCGAGCTAAATTTTATTTTCTACCTATTACCTAGCAGTACTTCGGTTACCCTTCTTGAGTCATTTGCTCTGTATGTTATACACATGAAGTCACCACTGATGGTGAATTCAGTGCTTATTTTGGTGGTTGCATGAGGACTTACATATTTCAATTAGTGTACCATGCTATTCATCACCCAGAATTCAACACTTTAGAGAGTGAGAACTTGTGCTATTAATAATTACTAAGAATAGTAGTTACAAACCAAGACCAGTCCACGTAAATCAAGATCCATGATCATCCTAATGCTAATGCTTCTGATTGCAAGAAACAGAAAACATATGAAACTGGTGTAAACAAGTGAAATTTAGTAATATCCTAAAAGTCCAGTGTTTTGGTGTACTGTAGGTGTGATTTGGTGAGCACTCTAGCTTTGTTTCTGTATTTTGTAGACTACCAGTTTCTGTGGCTGGCTTCTCTTACAGATTTTGGATATCATGCTAACAATAGTCTGGGCTACAGTTTTCACTTATGACCAATAGCAGAGAGAACTTGTTCCTCTCATGAATATAGAATAAGTCTGATGCCTCCTGATTATTACATATGAACTAGTCTATGTGACAAGGGAAATGTCTTATGCTGATTGTCTCAGATATGGGGTATCTAATTAGTTACCCTGATTCTCTTTGACTAATCAAAATCCATTTAGAAAACTGATGCAGGGTCAATCATCTTGGAAAACAGGCAGCTCAGTGAAGGAGAAAGGGGGTGGGGTAGATGTTCTACAAGTAATTACTGTGTTCACAGTGAAGTCCAGTGTCATTGCTTGTTTGAATTTCCTTCAGGCATCTGTTACCGAGTTCCTGCAAAAACCTAGCATAATGCATGTGTGTTTTCCTTCTAGTGAGAATTGATGTATAAGATAATTTCTTTGTAAGGGGAGAGAAAGCCAACAAGCAACTTCCAACCTGTTTTTCTATAAGGTTGCAAATTATTACTGATTTTTTTTTAACAGACTAATAGGGATGCCAAAGGAAAAATATGATCCTCCAGATCCTCGCAGAATTTATACCATCATGTCAGCAGAGGAGGTAGCCAATGGGAAAAAATCTCACTGGGCAGAATTAGAAATCTCGGGTGAGTAGAATTTGAAACATTTAATCCAGGATAATATGGCAATAATGAACAAGACTTTTACTCTTTTATTTGTTGTGCATTTTTTATTAAATTATTAAGAAAATATAAGATGGTGGTAGGGTTTATCTGTTTTATTCATGATTCAGCGTCTATTTTCTTTAATTTAATACTGTGAACCATAGTTGGCATCTGGAATTCAAAACATTGGGAGTTCATTTTCTAAGTATAGGTCTTTGATATAGATTTTGTTTGGCTTTTACAGAACAATACTTTTGTATATTGAAATATTTGCTATCCTCCTGTCATCCCAATGTTGACAGAGTGGGAAACCTAGGAGCTCTTTATTCTAATAAATATTGTCATATGAGTTTACATGTTTAGAATTTGTTAGAATGTGACTCCCAGAAACTCATAACTCCAATCTAATAGTGAGAAAAACACCAAACTCAAATTGAAGGATCTCCTACAAAATATCTAGTTAGTGATCCTCAGAATTGTCAAAGTCATAAAAAGCAAGGAAATACAGAAAAGACTAATTAAGGAGACACGATTACTAAAATGCACTATGTTATACTGAATTAAATCTTGGGAAACTATGCTGGTGAAATCCAAATAACAACGGTAAGTTAGTTAAAAGTAAGGTACCAGTATTGGGTTCCTAGTTTTGACAATTACCATGGTAATATAAGATGATATTAAGGAAACTAAATGTGTATATAGAAACTCTGTTATCTTGGTAAATTTCTCTAAATCTAAAATTAGTACAAATGAGTTCTGTTTTTCATGAATTGAAATGCTACAGATTATTATATATGTAGAATTAAGTTTCTTTTTTTTCCTCAGACTTTCCTTGGGTAGACTTAAACTCATTTCGAGCGCAAAAATTATCTCTACATTTAGCTAGAAGGTGGATAAGTGGTAATTAAAAGAATGATTATGAAAAAACCTGGGTTTCTCAACCTGATGCCACTGACATTTAGAACTGCATAATTCTTTGTGGTTGGGAATGTGATGTGTGCTGTGGGATGTTGAGCAACATTCCTAGTCTCTACCCTCTATCAGAAGTCAGTAGCATCGCTCTAGTTTTCACAATCAAAAGATTTTCAGATTGCCAATGTCGCTTAGAGAGCAAACACACCCTTGATTGAGAATCACTCAATTAAACCCTGGGTAAAACTGAAATAAGTTTTATCGGACACTCTCTTCATTTGAACACTTTGCTTCCTATGGAAATGCAAAATACTTTTTGACACTTTTCCTGAAGGAACCTATGATAGAAAGAACCCAGGACAGAAGATGTGTTTGAGTTTACTATTTAATAATTATTGAAAAGTAACATTGAGATTTTGTGCTCTCTTCCAGTGTTCTTTTAGTCAAATTTATTATTTGTTAAGTGATACATAGTTAAAATATCATTTTATAGACTATATTTTGTATAAATTAACTAAGGTAATACATCATTTCATACAACCTTGGGGAAAAAATCCTGGTGAAATCCAAATAACAACTGTAAGTTAGGTTCAAGTTAGGTAGAAGTAAGGTACCAGTATTGGGTTCCTAGTTTTGACAATTACCATGGCAATATAAGATGATATTAAGGGAACTAAGCGTGTGTTTAGGTGATTTACTTATATAGTTGATGAATGTTAAAACTCAGCACCTTGAACCAGATCTTCTAACTTTTTCTAATGCATACTCCACTATAGCTGTCAGATATTGACTGCCTGATTTAGTTTAATGTACAAAATCTAAACCAAAGTTGTTAGTCTATAATTGCAATATCAGAAAAATGGATATATCTTTTCTGGGAGTAAACCAATTTTTCTCGTGAATTGTCAACTGTTTTTCTAATTTATAGTAATACTTTTGTCTTTTTAAAGTTTGTAGTCTTATTAAGGCACCCAGATATAGGTAACCCATCTTACATTGGTAATTTTCGTGGTGTATATAAAAAATACTTTTGTTGGACTAAAACTTAAAAATCATTAAGGATTTTTCCACCACAGAAGTTCATTTCAATCCCATTTTCTCTTGAAACAACATGATCACTCTGATTCCAAGGATTTCTTCATTATGCCACATCTCATTTAATACATGGAAGGTCCAGGAGAAGTAGTGATTTTGACACATAAGTGGCAAGAAATGAAAGACTGGACAGGTGTGTTGGGAAACAATCACAGGCTTAAAGTAATCATGGCATGAAATGCAAAATTAAAATATCAAGGACAGTAAATTTTATATAGAATATCTGTGTATATTTGACAGCTCTTCTACAACCTTTTAGTCTTTTTAACAGCACAATAGTTTGTTCTTCATCTTGGGCCTAAAGGTTGATGCTTCAATATTTTGCCTTTTAGGTAGAGTGCGGAGCTTAAGTACATCACTTTGGTCATTGACACACTTGACAGCGCTGCACCTAAATGACAATTACCTTAGTCGCATTCCACCTGATATTGCCAAGCTTCATAATCTGGTTTACCTGGATCTGTCATCCAATAAACTCAGAAGTTTACCAGCAGAACTAGGAAACATGGTGTCTCTCAGGTAAGGAAATATGGTAAAAATGACTCCTGTATGTGGTTTAAAGTTTCCAAATAAGAACATTTTGTTATTATCTTACAGTAGGGTTTCCTCAAGTGTGTGAAAAGCAGGTGATACAAACTGTCTAAAGCACAGTATTGGCATCTATTGAGCTTTTATCCCTCCTTCCTTTGGTTTTAGAAATTTTTGGCTGAAAGTGGGTCTGTTACCACTAAATTCTTTTTATAGACTTGTATAATGGTGGGGCTATAATACTAAATCTCATTTCAGACATGTGTGTATGATATGACTACTCAGAAATAATTGGGAAAATATCATTTACTTACAAGTAAAACTTTCATGAGCCTATCTCTGTGAGCAAGGTATTCTTACATACAACTCTGTAAGAAAACCTTTAAACCTAATGATAAATGATTTCTTTGTAGTTTTTCAGTAGTCTAAGAACTTTTTCATCGAGAAATTTTTTTTAAAGTTTCAAAAATCTTTTATAAATGTTCTTACAATAAACAATTGTTATTTTTCTACCTTATTTGAAAAGTAGTAATTTTAAAAATTGATTGTCATGATTGAAGATTTGTGTTGTTTTTAGACTTGTTTCTCACCATCCCTTACTGTTTGTTTTTAAATTTTTAGTCATTTAATGAGAACTGTTCATTTTTTCTGTAATCTGTCCAGAATTTTATAATCATAAACTCAGATTTTTAGCTATGCTACCCTACCTATATTATCCTGTGTTCTGTGTCTGTTATTTTACATACTATCCTGGTATATTGCTATAATCAGCTATAAAAATTAATATGCAATTACTGTTAAATCCTGAAATTTGTAAAAAAAAATTATATCTTTTCTATGAATTAAGATATGTTCAAGGATACCTGTTGTCTGTGGCTACTGTGACTACCTGTCACTCTGATTTATAACTGATGGGTAACAATGTATAATTCCTATCCCTTTATTAATCTGTGCTAGAGAATGAGTGAATCTTAGAAACAGAATTAATTTTGAGTACTTTAATAATTGTTAAAAAATTTTGGATGCATATATGGAAATGTGCCTTGAATGTGGTTGTAGGGAAAAAAAAGAAAATAATTGTAGATACTTAACAAAGTTTGAAATATGTAACTTAAAAAAATTTTTTTTAAACAGGGAATTGCTTTTAAATAACAATCTGTTACGGGTTTTGCCTTATGAACTTGGTCGGCTCTTCCAGCTACAAACTCTAGGTTTGAAAGGTGAGTGATTTTAAAAAAATAAATAGAAAAGATAGCATTAACCTCAATTATTAAGATTTTCTGAGTCTTTTAAAGACCATTTTGGTTACAACATGGCAGATTTTAGCATAATTTTGAGAATATGACTACTTGTACCTGAAAGAAAAATGATTCTTTGGTATCTATTGGAGCTATAATATTTCAGAATGCTGAAAGATTTTTGTTTGGTTTTTATGTTACCATTAATATTTTATAAAACTCGACATTTCTTTTTAAATCACCACTGTAATTTTTCCTCTTTTGCCTGTTCCACTCTTTTAAAAAAAAAAAACAATGACTTGATAGAGTAAAACTTAATCAGAAAGTCACTTGTCATGTTTTGATAGAGTAGATCAAATAGTATTGACATATGATTATAAAAAGGAAAACATCACAGTAAAAATGAGCTTTACTTGTTAATTGTAATTACTCTAAATAAAATATGTTAATCCTAAAGACCTTGCTCTTTTGATGATCTTATATCAATTGGGATAAAAGTAATACTGATATGTATATAGTGAAATATGTGTAATTTTCTCTTAAAGGATACCACAGGAAGATGAGTTTATTTTAATTCAGATGACTAAATACAATTATTCTGTATTGGTTAAAGATTTCATTCTGTTCATATAAAAACTGAGCATTTTTTCCTTACATCTCTGTACCATTAGTTGTCTCGATACTGTATCACCTGTGTTCTCATCATCATATCCCCTCTGTTCTTCCCTCCCTGTTTTGACTCTCCTTCCTCTACTCTCTTTGCGTGTATGCCTAAACTCTGTGGTCAACTTACTAGTTTCGACTTTTTCTTGACCTTTTGTTTGGTTTCTCTATATTCCACATTTAAGTGAAATCATCCAATATTTATCTTTTTCCTTCTCACTTATTTTGGCTAGCATATGTATATACATATATATATAAGCTAAATCTTATAAATAGAATTGAAACAACGGTCCAGCTAGAATTGGAGTAGGATTATAATTTTTTATAATCTTGGATTCATGAAATATGAAATTTACACTTTTGTACTAAGTATAAGAAATGATTTTTTTTATCTGTAAGAATAATGAGTTTATTTTAATATCTGTCCTAACAGATTCTCCTTCTTGTATTGTTGGAGAACAAATACGTCAATAACAAATGAATAATTTGCTATTGACCTCAGTCACCTTATCCTTTGTTCCAGGTGTTCTTCCTGAAAAACCAGCTGTTTCATTAACTTTATTCCATTTTATCTTATAGAAAATGTTTCTAGAAAATTTATACTAAGTAGCACCAGAATGAGTCATGAATAATCTATTATCTCTTTGTCTTACATTCTTAATTAACTAGTAAAATATTTGTCTTCCTAACAACTGATTTTTGACTGGTCTTTATTCTTGAATCTTGCATCCTTTTGTCTGTGGATTCACGTTTGTAGAAACTTTCTTTTTAGAATCATCTTTCAGATTAGACACCACCCCTGCTTTGCCAACTGTTACTGAAATTTGCCCATCGTCTATAGATATGTTATGGTTGTGTTAATTCTTAAGCTACAGGGGTTTTTGTTTTGCCTTTTTTTTTTAAAGATTTATTTTATTTGTGCATACAGAACTGGGGTATGGGCCAGAGATGCAGGGGCGGTGAGAGGATTCACCAGAGACAGAGTGGGGAGCACAACAGGCAGATCGACGAAGTGCACTGTAGAAGGGAGCAGCGGACCGGTCAGGAGAGGTCAGGAGAGGTCTGCCGCGCCATGTGAATCACCTCTGGGGCAGGCGAGGATTGAACTTATGCGGAAGTGGCTTTAGCTTCTTAGTGCTGTGCTTTAACTGGCTGTGCCACCAGGGAGGGCCTTGTTTTGCTTTTTTAAATATTTATTTATGCTTACAGAATTGGGGTACAGGCCAGAGGTGCAGGGGTGGTAAGAGGATTCACCAGAGACAGAGTGGGGAAGAGGACAGGCAGATCGACAAGTACACTGTTGAGGGGAGAAGCTGGCGGGTCAGGAAATGTCTGCCACACCATGTGGATTGCCTCAGGGGTAGGCGGGGATCGAACTAAAACTGAAGGGGCTCACTTGCAGTGCCTCTGTGCTTTAAACTGTTGTGCAGCGGGGAGGGCCACTGCAGGATTTTTGAATGATAAATACACTTAGGCAGGGATTTTCTTTATGAATCTGTTGTTCTGAAAGTGCCACTTTATGGTTAAATAGATCCAGTACAGAAGAACAAGGGTCTTCTAGAAGCAAATCAAAACCAGAGTTAAAAGAATTGGTTTTATGAAGCAATGGGAAAAATAAACTGTCCCTAATAAAAGATAGCTGAAATTTTGATAAAGTAGCTACTTTTTAGAAATTCTATTTTAAGATTTAAGGTGAAAGTGTAAAGTAGGATATTTGGGTAGTTAGGACATGTGGATCTCTTTAAACAACAGATATGGCCAATCTAGTAATTTAGGATGTTCTCTCAGGTCAATCCAAAGTGTATTAATTTTGTGGGAGAAAAAAAATAAGAAAGTTCTAGCATAATTATTTTAAAATAAATTATAATTTATGTCCTAAGGTAGAAGTCAATACTTCTCTTACAAGAGAAGTTGGTGTTTCTCTTACATATGGGCCAACGAATTGTCCTCAAATATTGGACCTTGATTTCTCAAGTCAATAATTTAGACCTTCAATTAGTTATGAGCATTCTTCCAGAAATTGCTTCTATACCTCCATTGCAGTAGAAGACTCTTTTACTGAATAAAGTTTTTAATTTATGAAATAATATGAATTAATTAAATGTGGACAGTAAACATTTATAACTTTTAGGAAGTAATATGGAACTTATTGCCAATCTGAGGTAGGACAGGATTTAGGAACACATGAAATGAATTTTAAAATCTTTTACAATTAAAGCAACAGCAATAAAAATATCAAACCTTCACTAAAAGATACCAACAGAGAAAACAAAAAGGTCCAGAAAGGGTACATTTACAATACAAAAGAGACAAAACCACCTAAAAAGATCTATAAGAGACAAACAATCCAAGTGGAAACAAGCAAACTACATCAGTAGAAATTTTATAGAATAACATGACCAATAAATATATGAAAATATACTTAATCTTAATAAGATTAATGAGTTTTATTTTGGATAAGTATCTAAAAGTGGGTTGCTGGTTTGTATGGTAGGTTTGTATTAAACTTCATAAGAAACTGCCATGCTTTTAGTAGTAACTGTTACTTTGCATTTTCACCAAAACTATGAGAGGAATTTAATTGCTATACATTTTTGTGAGTGCTTGGTGCATTATCAAAATTTTAATATTTATCATTTTTAAAGGATATGTATCTTTTCACATACTTATCACCTGTAGGTCTTCTTTGGTAAAGTGTCTATAATCTTTTCTTACGTTTATTGTTGAGTTGCTTTTTCCATTTATTGAAATTTAAGAGTCATATTTTGTACTCAAGTCCATATTTTGTACTCAAGTCCATAAGTGTTTTGCAAATATTTTCTTCCCATCTGTGACTATTTTCTGTTTTCTTTACATGACCTTTTAAAGGGCAATTTTCCTTTTTAATTAAGTTTAATTTACCACTTGTTTTTGCTTATGGATGTCGTCTTTGGTGCCAGAGAAATCTTTGCTTCACTTGAGTACATGAATTTTTTAAAAAAATTAATCTTGTACTTTTCAGTTTCACATTTAGGTTTGTGATCTTTTTGAGTTAATTTCTCTTTGCATTGCAAGGTTTGTTTTTTTCGTATAGGTACATATAGTCAGTCCAGCACTATTTGTTGAAGATTCCTTTTACAATTTTGTCAAAATTCAACTGCCCCAAATATATATGAGTATGCTGCCAATTACTCTAGTCTGTTTTACTGATGTATGTCAACACTAAAATGTTTGATTATTATAACATTATTGATAAGCCTTACAATTATATACAATAGTATCCATACTTTTCCAACTTTGTGCTTGTTTTTCAAAATTTCTTTGCCACTTGTAGATGTTCTGTGTTTTCAATACATTTATGATTTCTGCAAAATAATCCTGCTAGAATATTTATTTTGATTATCTTGACTATATAAATCAGTTTGGGAAGAATCAATAGCTTGAGACCTACTATTGAATATTTTGATTCATTAATACAGGCTATCTCTCCACTTATGCAGTACTCCTTTATTTAATGTATCCTAGTTTTTAGCATTGTAGATAGCACAATATTTTGCTAGACATACCTGCTTATTTGATTAGTTGATGTCGCTATGGTACTTCCTTTCAGTGTTGTTCATTGAAAATGTGTAGAATTGCAATTTTTTAAAATACATTGACTTTGTCTCACAGCATTTGTGACTTACTACTTTTATGAACTTACACATACCTTTAATTTGAATAGAAACTTTCACTTTCCCCCTAACATGTATTCTTTTAATTTTTTGGTTATCACAGTGCCTAGTACATAAGGTAGAAGTGATGACAGTGCACACACCCTTGCCTCATTCTTCATTTTAGAGGAAAAATACTGTTTTTCGACATTATGTTAACTACAGGTTTTTTGTAGGTGCTTTTTTGTGTTAAGTAAATTTCCTTCTAGTCTAGCATTTGCTGAGGTTTTTATACAAGTTGAATTTCATTATTTTCTCTGCAGTTAGAGATGATCAGCTAACTTTTCTTGCTTAGTCTATTTATATGTTGAATTCCTTTGATGGATTTTCAAATGTTGAAGCAGCTTTCTCTTCCCATTTTAAATACTATGTGTACATTATGTACTCTGTCTTCAATATGTTGTTGGACTGGAGTTGCTTGTATTTTGTTGAGGATTTATACATTTTTGAACATAAGACATTACTCCAGTGTTTTTCTTATAATGTCTTTGTCCAATTTGGTATCAGTATACTAATTGACCTCATAAAATGCGTTGAGAATGGTTACTAATATTTCTATTTCTGGAAGAGTACATAAGGTTTGTATTTTTGTTTTCTTAAATGGTAGAGTTTTCTAGTACAGTCATA